CCGGCGGCGGCGGCGGGCGGGCCCCGGCAGAGCAGGGCTGCGCCGCTCTTGTCCTCCGCGGCAACAGCCCCAGGCGCAGGCTCGCCCAGGACTCCAGCTCCCCGCCCCAGAGCCATAAACCGCGCTAGAAAAAGCTACGAGAGAAAAAAAACCAGCCGCCAGTCGCAAGGACTACGTCCCCATTCCCACTCCGCACTTCAACCGACTGTCTCATGAATGCGCAGCTCGCGGCTGCAACTTTCTTTCAGACTCAAATTCGACCACGATTTTATCACTGCGACCAGATGTGTCCGCTGAAGTGGCGGGAAAGAGCTAAGGAAATGCGCCACCACGGTCGTCAATGTGCGCAAAATGGCAGCCGCCGCCGCCGAGGGCGGGGGGGAGAGGGCGGGTTGCCCCAAGAAAGACAACGGAAAAACCGTGATCCTGGACCTGGCTTCGGGCTGGCTCAGGGAATGAAAATGCCCTGGAATACGGAACCCAGAAGCGATATACACCCGCCATCCCCCGTCCTCCCTCAACACCCCGCCCTGCTTCGTATGGCGTGAGCCGAAGCCGCCATTACGCACGCGGAACCACCATCTCCCAACCGCCGCGTCAAGCCTACGGCCTCGCAATGCTCACTAAACCCACAGCAGCGTCCCTCACTGGGCCCTAGCCTCTTACCTCCTCCGTACCGCCCGTAACGCGACATGATGACCGGCCCGCGTGTTCTGCTCTCCGGCTCGCAGTGCCCAGGGCTCAAACAATAACAAGTCTACCACACTACCTCACTCGCCAACGATCCCGGCGGCACTAAGAGGAAGAGCCTGGGTTCGCGCTTATATACGCAACGCTGGGATTTTTTTTGCGCATGCGTCATGTCGACGTTCTGCGCGGCACAAAGGAGCTGGGCGGAAACAGCCGAGAAGCGGCGCGGAGGGAACTGCAGAGTCTAGAACGCGGCTTAAGGGCGGAGGGATACGTTTCCATGGGAACGCCACGATCTCGTCTGTAAACCCGTGGCCTTCCCCTCGGTGTCCCCCCTTTCCTGAACCCTTGTTGTCTTCCTTCCCTGACCCCTACCTCCTACCTTTTCCCCTTTACCCCCTTCCACTTTTTCCCCAATCAAGGGGCTCTCGGCGCTAGTAATCTTAGTACAGGTGCATTAGACCGACCTATGAAAGGCTGTAAATTTTAACCGCTAATGTTGCAGCTGTCGACGCCTTTCTGCTGGGGGACCTGGCCTAGTCTGCTACTCAGTGATCTTTGGGGCTCATCAGAGGTAATCGAGAGTTTGGCCAGGGTGAAAACTCCAAGAACCCGCCTTTCTGAGAAGTGGTCTTTGCACCCTAGGCTTCAAAAGGGATGAAGCTCCCAGAGACTCGTGGTAATACCTCCCGCCCTGCACCGCCCCTCCAGCCCCTGCAGAGCGAGTCACCACCAGTTTGTCACCAGCACGGTCTGAGTTCTTGGAGTCTGGGGGACAAAAGAATAGAGTTGTGGGGCTTTTTTTTCCTGGTGTCAAAACACTGAATCCTTAAAGCATTTTTAGCCAGTGGCGATCCCGAAGGTACTTGCATCTGAAACGCGAAGTAATTTATTTGTTCTTCCCTTCTAGGGCTTTCTGCGTTATATTGTAGTAACACATCTTATCCACTAGTACTCTGATTCTGAGGATTGGGACTCTTAAGTCATCTTGGAGTATCTCTCCATTCAATGCAGTTAGCAGCCTTGCCGTTCAGCCACTCAATATATAGCAAATAAGTGAAAAACCTTTCTTTACGTTAGAATGCTTAAAATCCAATTATGATCTTATATACACTGTATTTGCCAGACACCTATTCTACAAATACAGATTTAAGTTGTTTTTACTAAAGCCACAAAAAATACAGACATTATATCATAAATACTTGGGATACACAAGAGTTGGAAATGTTACACGTGGAAGAGGAAATCCTTAGGTATTTGTATTTTTATCTTCTTTACCTGCTGTAACTTCATTTGGTGTGTGTGTATATATATATATATATGTATGGGATGCAGAGTACAGGGAAAGGAGACCTACTTGATGAATAAAGTATGGACTCTCTCCAGGTCATGCTACAAATTTATACATACATATTTTTTCAAATTATGAAAGAATTAGTCTGTCTCAAGAAAATTGCTAGCAAGAAAATAGAAGCTCTATAGAGTTTATTTGTTTTCCCGTAGTCTTAGTGACTTTTGTTTTAATCTACTTAACAGGGTTCTTCTTAAAAGGATTAAACAATAATTACAAAAATCTTTTT